AATGCCATAACAATGATTTGGTGAATAACTTAGTCCCCCGTAGTTGTGGCGGAATCGCTGCTCAAAACTCCACATATTTCACAAATCCAGGCTTTCCTTCAGCTTATAATAACACAAATACCTGTTCACTGACTATACATAGAATACCAGGAGTTAATAGAATCTGCCAAATTAGGTTTGATTGCAATCTAAAACTTTAACTTGTTTAAAAATGACAATAATTTGAATTAAATGTTTTATCGCCAAAGACTTGATTTTATGGACTTTGAATTAAAACAACCGATTGATGGAAACTGTGTTTCCGATCGATTTATGATTACCGGACATAATCTGAATTCACGTGTGCCTGAAATGTGTGGCTATAATACCGGACACCACTGTATCTTAAATTACATCGCTTAATTTAGCACAATTACATGAACTAATTATTAATTTATTTAATATTTAGTATACATAGACGTGGATGGAGTTCAGGGTCCCGTCATATTGACTATGAGGACAGATGGGTCGGCACAAAGGCGTTGGAATATTCTTGTATCGCAAATAGAATGCATTAATCCTTCGAAAGGTTCTCAACTAAAATTAAAAACTTGAAATTTATTTTCTTTCCCATCAAATAGTTATATAAATTTAGAATAATATTTTCTGTTTTGCACACATTTTCTTACTTTCTTTTACAATATCTACTTTAATATACTATCATTTATTTGAATCTATATCACAATATTTCAATAAATCAATTTCACTGTAACTCCACAAAGTGTTTTCATATGCATTTCATTTCACACGCATTGCATCGCTTATAAGACTTGATATTAAGAATTAAAAATAACAATTTCCCAATCAATAGCGCCATCAAATTGTTTGCAGTACTTTATGGGTCCGACGGGTGTTATAATGAGTTTTAATTATGAATTCCTTAAGCAAACAAATAGTGACACTAACTTTAAAGGCATCGGATATTTCAATAATTTAGACTATAGTATATGCTTTAGGAAAGAGCAATATTTTTGTACGCAAACATATACGGTAGTCAATACTGGATCCGAGCAAATGGATATCGATCATGATTTTAATATCTATGGCGCCGAGACATCTAATATAACGGTGGGTCAGGCGGGCGCTGGCGTTGCCAAATGCATACAAGATTATCTCATATTAAATGGGATCCGCTTTTGTGGCTACAGAATGAGCGAAGAGGGACTCATTCACAATACAAATTATGTTAACATATCTGAATCAATTACAGACACGGGGTATGCCTTTAATATTTAAGATAATCTATATTATTGATAAACTGAGTTATAATATGTAAACACATAGAACGGGTCCTCTTATCGCAAGATTCGTGTCCAATGGACAGCACAGCGGTCGGGGCTTTAAATTAAATTACAGACAAAACCCGTGCAAAATAGTTTTGGAAACACACACAAAATTACTAGTTAACAATACACATCATTAGTAAGTAAGTATTTATAAATATAAAGTAATTGTATGTTCTGTTAATAGTTTATCAATTTTAAAATAGTGGACAAAGTGTTTTAAAAACGCAAGAGATGTCAACTGGAAATCCGATTCAAATAATTGGGATTTAATTTATTTATTTCAATATTACTTTTACTAACTATTTATTACATTTAATAATTCAGAATTTAATTATGACATTATTATTTATAACGTAAACGAATTTTTGGTATGAAAATCTTTAATAACAATAACGGCTCAAATTATATCAATATTTCAATAAAGTAATGCAATTCTTATATTGTTTCACATTTTAAGTAAAATTTTATTTATTTTTGTTGTCATATTTGAGGAAAAATTCATACATTGGAATCACATCTACAAAATCCAAATTTATATTCTTTAGGCTCAACAACTGGTTGTAGTCTTAGTCCCCTCTCTAGCATCCGACACCTGTTGGGCACAAACCTATACTGAGCTTCGGTTGCATTTGACAAACTCTTCGGACTCCATAATCTTTCGGCCACAGACATAGCTCTTGGCCTAAGGGAAAAGACAGTGGATTAAAAATTAATCTCAATATAATTACTAGCAATACAGACCATGTTCGTGTCATGAAATTACTGGCATCAACCCATTCGCCCCACATTGACGCCTGTCCTCCCAAAACCAGACTATTCTGGTGATCGGTGCCATTAAAACCTTGCGGATCGCATGTGTAGTAATTAAACCAATCGTAACCGTAAGATATTTTATTCAAATACCAACACGAAGACAGTATGACCTCGTAATCCAATTTTGTTAATTCATATAATTCTGTGTTGAAGTTCTGTTTCCACACATTAACGATAGTA